TCTCTCTCTCTCTCTCTCTCTCGCTCTCTCTCGCTCTCTCTTACTTTTTACAATGTACGAGCCTTTGTCCCTGCTATTACCGATTGGGCTCAGATGAGCCCCTGTTACTGCCAATAACTTTTAATAGAAACAAAGAGTAGTTAACAAAGGGGATTATAAAAATCCCTGTTATTACTGGATCCCTGTTAATACTGGGCCTGTTATAATTGGTTTCCACTGTAGTAGAATGTCCCTGTCTGTCTGTTGAGATGCTGGTATCCAAACAGACCTGGCTTTGAGATACCTTAGCCATGGTGACCAGCAATGTATTGTTTGTTAGATAGTCAGCACTGATGTGATACTGTGCAACTATTATATATATGGCAACTTGGAAACACATGTGTCACTTTTTCCATAACACTATGACAGCTACAGAGTTGAAAGTTGGCAAATACCTGCAAAAAGATAGACAGGTCCCCATGATGGAGCCCGATTTGTTATTTATTCATTTCCTCACTTAAGAAAAATATTTGACAAAAAGTTCTCGTCCTTCTTTGGGCTTTGTGACTATTCCACTGAGAAACGAAACTAAAGTGCTCATATAACCTTATGCAGTTGCGAGCGCCATAAAACCCCATACTAAACTAAACGAAACAAATCTGCGAAGCTGTCCTTCACAGCGGAAGTGCTGGAAGTGATCTCTCTGGCTAAGCATCACAGTTAGACACTGCCCCTGTGATTCTGAAGACGTCGGTGTGTTCCTTTTAGAGTGTAGCAGTCCTTTCGTGGATTATTATTTTCTTAGTGCTTTTTTGTGATGGTGTAAGGCAAAAAAAGGATCTAGATCGTCTGTTTACGCGTTGTACTTGATCCAGATCAAATGTAGATCAGAAAATTGTTTGGGAGACAGAAGGTATAGGCCTACCACTGATCTGGCTGGATTCGACATATGTTTTGTGATTAGATCTACTGGCCGTCCGTTTGGATGTCGTACTTAATCCAGACCTAGACATTGAAACAAGGATCAGAAAACCGTTTGGGGCACGGAAGGAAGGCCTACTAGACCTGGATTCTATTTATGTTTTGTGATTAGATCTACTTGATTAAAGCGTGCCCAAGGCCAAGCCAGATCAAGCCAGATCTAAGAAGAATCTACTAACACATTATTATTGTGGATCTGTAGAAAAAGAGGGTTGTTTTGAAATATGTCATTGTTATATTTCACTTTCAGCGGAAAACTGACCATATTTCCTGCTGCCCCACCCTTCCCTTTCCGACTACCCTGAGCAAAGCCTCGGTACTTAACTAGTTATGTGATATTGATGAAGAACTGTATGAACATATCAACTGCTTAGTGTTAGACTCTGTCAGTGGGTGGTTGGCGGGTGCTCTGGCGTGGTTTGCTTTCCTATCAAACATCTATCGTCCTGATCTCCCCTTCTTCTTTTTTTATGTTTGTTACTCTCTTGTAACACTTCTAATCTTCTGGCGCTCATATGACCTTATGCAGTTGCGAGCGCCGTAAAACCTTTACTAAACTAAACTAAAAGACTCTGTCATACACCATTTTGAAAAGTGACGAATGACAGACTCTTACACTGAGCAGCCACTATTGTACTTGCAACAATACATTGAATTCCCAAATGGGGACCAAGAAAAGAGAGGTATTCTATCTATTTAAAATCCTTTTTTTTTGTTATTGTAAATACATTGAATTCCCAAATGGGGACCAAGAAAAGAGAGGTATTCTATCTATCTAAAATTCTTTTTTTTTGTTATTGTAAATTTTATGGGACGAGTGTCTGTTTGTTAACGGTATAGCTGTTTACTGTTTCATGCAGAAGATGTGAATTCTATTCCTGAAAAGGGAAGCTTTCTATTGAGTCAACTTTCTCTCTTCTGAGCTGGCCCTGACGGGCAAGGTCAAAGAAGCCTGCCACTGCCTCCTAAAATTATCTTGATTGTGTCAAATAAAGAACAAAACGCTTATGAAAAAAAAAATTATGCAGCTCAGAGAGTTGAGAAAAAACCAATCTGAGAATGTTATCTGTTTCATAATTAATAAAGCTGTTCTTCCTACCTTTAGTTTAGTTTTAGTAGGATCTTTACAGCACTTGCAACACAATTAGGTCGTATAAGTTCCGAAGACAGAGATGTTACTAGGTAGTAACATACAAATAAAAGGAGAGAGAAAGATGATAGAAGTTTAATGGTAATAAAGAAGCAAACTACACCGGAGCACCCACAAACAACCCATTCTCCTTACCTGCTCTGGTTGAAGGTGTGTATGCTGACTTTGATCTGACTGTACTTGCGAAGGATCTTGTGTGTATCCTCGTCCGTGTTGAACGAGTTCATCAACACCAGCGGCACATCAACACCGTAAACTTTGTTCAGGTGCTGCCGACGATTAAAGCTTTTGTTCATAAACTTATTGAAGATGACATACTGCTGTACAAGTAGTATTAAATTCAGAACCAGCATACAAAACTTAGCAATTGACTCTTGAGTGACTCATTTTCTTGTTGGATTTTGAAGATCACAAAAAGGGAAGTACTTTCTCCACGATAGGATCATGTATTACTTTCTCATTACAAAGAGAATGGACAACTGTCACTTTTAACTGAATGACCTATACACCCTTAAAGCGCAATACTATAACCTCCCCCCTTTTTAGTGACAACTGTACAAGCTGTAACTGTATTTACTAAAGCGTCCCCTGTGAACCAAAACAAATAATGGAAGAGAACCGGTTACGGAGAAAGCAGGTGAGTGCAAATATTCACACAGCAATGAAGTGGTTAACAAATAGCATTTTCAATATGGTTTCTATCTTTTGTAATGCAAAGGTTGACGAACTGAGCAAAACTCATGTGAACGGATATAATGAATTCACACAGCCGACTTGAGCAGATTCTTTATGCTTTCCATAGTAAAATAAAAAAAGGGGGGGGGGAGCTAACTCTAAGGACATCATTCTCCCTTGAAATTGAAAACAAATATTTGAAGCCATGATCTGTTTATTTTGCTGTACCGGCACAAAGGTTCCGACCCCGAGCCGCTGGGAGCTGCTTGCCGGAGATAAGGAGTTAAATATCTCAACTATTGTCTAAATTACTTCTTATTTCTAATGTCTCATGTTTAATTAATTTGTCACACCTCTCATCTCAAATGTCTCATGTTTAATGCCTCACCTCTATCTGCTGCACGTTGAGATCCAGGAAGGTGAGCTCATTGCGCACCTGTATGGCGCTCTTGGGCCCGGTGCAGCCCATGCTCGTCCCCAGGCCACCATTGAGCTTGATGACCACCAGCTGGCTGAGCAGGGTCTTGATTTCCGCTGTGGCTGGGCCCTCCAGAGCAGTATACTTCTTCACCTGGAGTAGTCATTTTATACATTTTGATTAGATTCTATAAAAAGCTGCTAAAAACCAAAGAAAGGAGGAAAAGAAACGGGCAGACTCTAATGGAAAAAGGATTGGACACGAGAGACAGCAACGAAAATTTGAACATGAGATATATGCGGATTAGGAGACACGGAACCACAAATCATGGATTTCACGGAAGCCAGAAAGATTGAAACCCTGGGAATTTCTGATGTCAGGAAAAAGAAGTCCAACAGCAAACAGATGTACAAGAACTACATCTTACTTTCGAGGGGAACAAAAGGAATGGAGAGAGCAAAACAGACGCTACACACCTAGCACAGGACCAAAACTTGCACCTCCCCTTGACATCCTAAGGATACCAGATGAAGAAAATAGTAAAGTAAGATTAGATTCTATTTTGGGGAGTTGTGCAAGCGTGTGTTGGTATGTGAGAGTGGGAGTGTAATGGAGTGTGTCAGAGAGAGAGAGAGAGAGAGAGAGAGAGATAGAAAGAGTGAGAAAGCCAGTGAGAGAGCCAGCAAGTGTGTATGCGTGTGAGTGTGTGTGTGTGTGAGAGAGAGAAAGAGGGGGAGGAGTGTGTGGTTTGTGTGTGAGTGAAAGTA